AGGAGGAAATCCCCTCCTATGACAAGGATACCCATTAATATCTCTCTCTCTCTCTCTCTCTATATATATATATATATATATATATATATATATATATATATATATATATATATATATATATATATATATATATATATATATATATATATATATATATATATATATATAGAGAGAGAGATATAGAGAGAGAGAGAGAAACTTATGTCAACTTAAATGGACGTCCACTAAGTTTTTTAGTCATTGATGATCACTTGATTGAGCTATATTGTGGATGATCCGCTCCGTTGAACTTGATCTACATATTCTAAAAGCCCAACACACCAATTTTGGGGTGAACCAGTCCTGGTTTGACCCTCCGTCGAGCCATGTAAAAAGTTCTATTCATTCAAAACCGTTAAAATTGATACGAGTGGATAAAGGGTCAAACCATGACGGGTTTTACCCCAAATTTAGTGTGTTGGGGTTTTAAAATATGTAGATCAAGTTCAACGGAACAGATCATCCACAATGTAGCTCAATCAAGTGATCATTAATGACTAAGAAACTTAGTAGACGTCCACTTAAGTTGACATAAGTTTCTCTCTCTCTCTCTCTCTCTCTCTCTCTCTATATAAAATTATATATATATATATATATATATATATGAAATTAAAACAAAATATAAAAATTCACAGTATATACCAAAAACTATTGAAATATAAAATAGATTTGAGATTAGCTCAAAGGAGTATTCGGGGCTCGAATTGATTTGGAAGTATGATGCCTTTAAAATTAAATGAAGGTAAGGCTTAGGACACATAGGCAGTAAATGAAGGTAAGACTTCGGGTATATATGCAGGAGATCCTTTTAGGAAGTGGATGAATTCAAAAGTAAATGGGGTACAATTTGAATTTATGCGCGAGAACACATTTTCGGTGTCGCCTCATTAGCATGAAAAGCGCAAAAACAAAAATTATATATTTGGCTTAATAAACATCGTATATCTAGCCACTTAGAACAAAAATTACAGATCAAAGAAAAATATAGCAATTTACCTGTATAAGCAACTACTAGAATACATATCTACATAATCATTACTTCAAAATAAATGATTGTAAAACTTAGGGCTTATAGGAAAAAGACCAATCTACAGTTTGCACGTAGGGCTTAGGAAAAAGACATGTCTACAGTTCGTAGTTTTGCTACAACGTGAAAAAATTCCTAAACATAATGCTTTAAGCACTTATTTTAATATTAAAGAAATTTTTAAAATAGACCCACTTGTAATTTTAATCCCCAAAATTGACTCATTTCAAAAACAATTATAAAAATCGACCCAGTTTCGACCACGCTAGTAGCACAGACTGAAACTGGGTCGATTTTGAAGAAAACGGTGTTTTATAATTAGTCGGCATTGCCAATCCCAACTAATTAGAGAAGGATTTATAGACACCAAGAATTATCATATTCCTTTTAAAAGCACGAGTTCAGGAAAAACTTTTCATGATCAATATTACCCTTCACTATTTTAGATATTTCATTTAAATATTAATCTATTCTAATTTTAATCATATCTTATCTAATTCCCGTAAACTATCTATAGCTCAACAATTTAAAAATAATTTATTTTAAATATTTTATTTAAATCTTAATCAATCTAAATGCTAATTATGTCTTATATTAACTCCATATTAACAACCTATAACTCAACAATTTAGAAAAAATAAAATTAAGAATGTATATGTGGATAACATATTATAATACATGAAGTATTACAAAAAACCCAAAAGTTTCAAAAATTGCATATAATAGCCTTAAAAGTTTAAAATTACACAAAACACCTTGACTTTTTAAATCTTAAAACAAACATGAAATCTAAAAATTTAAAATTCATAATTAACACCCGCAATATTTTAAAAATTGCAGAAACAACCTCAAAAGTTTAAATTATAAAAAACACCCTAAAATTCAGAGATTTCAAAACTTAACAACAACATAGATGGATTCGAAGGATTACCATTAAGCACTTAAAAATTTAAAATTTGTAAAAAACAACATCAAAGTTATAAAAATTATAAAAACTCCCTCAAAAATAAAAAATTACAAAAAATCTTGAAATTTCAAAACTTATAACTGGTACACATCAAATTTAAAAATTATCAGTAGATCAATGAAATTTTAAATTTTTTAAAAAACAACCCAAAATGTTAGTAATTGTAAAAATACCTTTAAATTTTCACAGTTACAAGAAACATTCTATCATTTGAAAACTTATTACCAACACATGAAACATGAATTATAAACACCCAACTTATAATTTAAAATTTTTATAAAATACTATCAAAATTTAAAAATTATAAAACACACCCTGAAAAGTTTAAAATCACAAAAACGCTAAAATTTGGCAAAGAAAAGAGGAAATGTTTGATATTATAACATTAAAATATATAAATTTAACTTTCAATTTAAAATTTATCATCTCTTTTCAACATCTAAAAGTAGTCTAAGTTGATACTGTTAAAAAATAGCAATTACCATAGATTAAAATTATCCAATTAAGGAATAAGAATTTAAAAATATATGATAGATTAAAAGTTAACATTACTGTATAAATTCAAGGAATACTGTATAAATTCAAGGAACTGCATATAATTTTACTAATAACATTCATTGATAGAAGACAAATTAATAAAAGACTATAATATAATAGGTTAGCATTAATTAATTATAATGTATAAACTTTATCTCTAATGTTGATTATATTTATATACCAAAAAATACAATGAGTTATGTATAAATACAATGAGTTATGTATGGAGAAACCATCAAAAAGTTCAGAGATATCATTTATCATTTCAAATGGAAAAATAAAGGAAATAAACTCAAAATTCAAAAACATTCATGAATCACTTGAATTGACATTGATAAAAGGCATATCTGATAAAAAAGCACTGACCGAGTTCCCCTTGAAGAACATATTGAACAATTTTGTCCTAATTAAAAAAAACATTCTTCATGAAAGATACAAGAAAAATTAGTAAGTGTTTATAAATTTTCATACTTTATTCTTGAAATACTAAAGAAATCATAAAGTTAATATAAAATTACATATAAATAATTTTGTAATAGAAACTAAAGTGAAGCCATTAATTAACTATATTGCGAGATATAATAAGCTAGACAAGATGAACAAAATCACTATAATTGACAAAAAGTATGCACATAATACTTAGTTACCATAGCGTAAGTAAAAAAAATTAAAATTAAAATTTTTCTTTTCTATATAGTGCCACGACCCTGCAAGTAACCTTATTTGGGGATATGACTACCAACGAAAAATTAATTTTTTAGGGACACGATCAAAGAAGTCCCACAAGTCAACAAAAGCAACCATGTGACTCTTTACTCCTCTATCTTTTTCTTTTGGCTCTTCTTCCCAAATTAGAACCAGAGATGATTTTTTCCCCCAACTATAACCTGAGCTCTTGACCCATCAAACTCATCACCGGAAAATGTCCCTATCTCCTCCCACCCTCCTCCTCCAACCTCCTCCTAACCCTAGTTTCCCTCATTGGATCAGGACTCTGCGTCATCCTTACCAAAAGATCGACAATGAACTCCAAGAACATGATCGCAGACTAGCGCGGATGCATCGGAATCAGGTTCGGGTTCGGATTTGGAATTCTGCAGATCGTCATCAGAGTCGGATTTGTCGTCGAGGTGGAGGACGTCGCTGCGATCGTCATCGGGGGGCGTCTAATACGTCGTTGTCGGCATCGTCGAAGGGATCAAAGAGGGAAAGGTAGGATTGTAAATTGGATGAGGAGAGGAGGGAGGCAAGAGTAGAGGATGACGAGAGAGAGGAGGACGGTCAGGACGGCACAGATCCGACTCTGATCCGAACAACTACAAACCTGATAAGGCGCTCTACCAAGGGCGATTGTAAGTCAAAATTGTCAGGGTTGTTGACCGCAACTAATTTGAACTACAGTTCAAAATAGTCGGTGTTCCCAATCCCGACTATTTTTGTTGGTGCGTACAAAGCTTCTCTAATTACTCAGGATTAGCTACCCGACTAATTATAAAACACAAGTTTTTTTTAAAATCAACCAAGTTACAATCTACGTTGATGACGTGGCTAAAATTGGGTCAATTTTTTAAATTGTTTTGGAAATGGATCTTTTTTGGGGATTAAAATTGTAAATGAGTCTATAATAAAAATTTGTCCTTTAACATATCACATACTTAATCACCTATCACTTAGAAAGGTACATAGCAAGTTAAAGTGAAATATAACAACGTAAACTATTTGCTAAGCTGTTGAAATAAAATGTGAGTTTTAAAATGATTTTTGTAGTATATGGAATATAAGATCAGTTTCTGAAGTGAGTTTAAAAATAAATAGAGCTTAAACTTTTGGTTTATAGGTTAAAACCCTTCCTGAAAGTGGGTGATTTTGAAATAAATAGGGATAATCCTTTGGATTTATAGGTAAAATACCTTATCTTGCAACTTTCATTATATATAAAATTCATGAAATACAAAATAGATTAGCAAGTAATTCATTAGGGTAATTTTGAGTCCAAGAATGATTCTAAAAGTGGGTGCATTTCAACATAAATGGGGGAACTTTGAGTTTATAGGCCAAAAACTCCTCGTATAGTCCTTCATTATATTATTATATTATTTTAGTGGAATTGGTGGTGCATTTTGGGCTTAAAATTAAGTGTTCAAGTGGGTGGACTAAAAAGTAAATTGTGTCACACAATTGGATTTATAGGCAGAAAGTAATTTATTATTATTTATCTTAACCATAAGCTAGAGCGAATTCTAACATTCACGTTCCATTGTGGTTAATATAGATTTTGAAGTGGGTTGGGCTCAAAAGTAGAATGAGTTACAATAATGGGTATAATAGACAAAACGTCATTCATTAATGTTTATTTTGACCATAAACTATTGGGTGCACTATAGCATGAATAGTACCAAGCTACAATTCTAACCCCAAATATTTTAGTAAGGATAGTGATAGTAGTACTACAGGATTTTATTTAGCAGGTAAGGGGTTGAATTCCTTGAAATTTCTCTCTATCCATCTAATCCTAAAATTTTTGGTATAGGATATGTTGTTGTTTATTAGGGTAAATTTCATAATACCCCTAAGAAGTTTGGCACATTTTGAGTTAACCCATAAAAAGTAGGGAAATGTCACTCAACACCCCCCACCCCCCACCCTCCAAAACAAAAAAAACAACAAAAAGAGATTTCAGATTAACACCCAAAAAGCAGGGGTTAGGGGGTCTCCGAAAATAGATTTAGAAAATGCAAAAGTTTTTGGAGTTAATTGACATTTGCAAACTTGTGTGTGTGTGGGTGTTTTCTCCCCTTTTTTTGTGAAATTTACCCTTATATCAGATACATGAATGTTCTCTGTAAACATTAATGATAAAGTTATAGTACTTACCAGTGCAGCAAGATGAGCTTCTTGCAAAATATTTCCATCAATCTCCAACCTAGCAATAGGAAACTCCGGAAGATGCCCGGACTGTTTCTTGCCGAGCAAATTACCAGGTCCGCGAAGGAGAAGATCAGCGTTCGCCAAATAAAACCCGTCTGATGATTTCTCAAGAGCCTTCAACCGATCAAGAGTTCCAGAGGTTGAAGACAAGAAAACACACTTGGACTTTCTTGATCCTCGCCCAACTCGTCCTCTCAGTTGATGCAACTGAGCAATTCCAAACCTTTCGGCGTTCATGACAATCATCATGGATGCATCGGGAACATCAACACCGATCTCTATCACTTGAGTCGCAAGTAAGATTTGGGTCTCACCAGATTTGAATTTCTTTAGGGCTTTGTCTTTTTCATCACTTTTCATGCGGCCATGTAATAAGCCACACTGGTAATCTTTGAATTTTTCTGATACGGATTCGAATTCAGCAGCAGCAGCTCGAAGCTGGGGCAACTGTTCAGATTCTTCAATAACTGGATAGACAAGATAAACTTTCCCCCCACTTATCAGTTCATCTCTCATCATCTGGATGAAAATAGCAGGTAATTAAACATAATTGGCAAGCACTTGGAGTCATATGGATTGTGAAAGACTGTTTATTGAACTCTTTAGTAAAACCAAAAAACTTAAGACAGTGAATCGAGAAAAGTTGGTTGGTCGTAATGAATTGATAATTTACTGGACCATGTAAGATTTGAGGTCTAATCTTTGCAAAGTTGTTATTTGAACTCAGGAAGTAGACCGATTAAATCATCTAGTGTATTAAACTTTACTCCCTAGCTCAGAAAGCCAGCAAGAATAATCAGAGGAATAGCTCGTCTCGCTCTCTTCTGAATCCTAATTATATGAATTTTCATTACAAAAGCTGGGTTTTGAATGGTGCATAAGAGGGCAAGACAGTAAATTTCTTTGAAGGAATAAACTGGGTAACTTCCAGTCTCTGCCCTAAATAAGAATAAAATTTCTCCAAAATACAACCACCGAGTAACTGCAGCTGAAACATCAGATACTTAAAAAACAGAAAACTTTGATAATGACTCAAAATGTCAAGCAACAGAAGAATGACACGTGACTAGCTGTGTCTGGTTCAGGCAGCCAACAGACGGTGACTGAAGCCTAGGTTGCTAATGAATAATGGGTTTTCTCGATATTAGTCCCTTAAATCTTTCATAGTTTGAAACTAGTCCCACAAATAATTGAAATTGCTTTTATGTTCCCCAGTTCTTAAGTTATTTTCAAATTAGTCCCTCAAATCATTGTACTATTAGGTTCCCCAATTCTTGAGTTATTTTGAAATTAGTCCCTCCAATCAAGAATAGAAGTAGAAATTAGAGGGAAAGTAGTCCCTCAAATCCTTGAAATTTCTATTATGGCCCCCAATTCTCAAAAATTATTTCAAATTAATCTCTTTAATTGCTAGTACTATTGACTTGAGGGACTAATTTCAAAGATAACTTATGAATTGGGGGACCTAATAGCAATTTCAATGATTTGAGGTACTAATTTCAAAATAGCTTAAGACTTGGGTGACCTAAGAGCAATTTCAATGATTAGAGAAATTTAAATTTCAAAATATGAAAGGTTTAGAGGACTAATATCGAAAAAGCCCATGAATACTTTGGCTATAAAACTTTCAAAAAATGAGGAAAAGGAAACAAGACAGAAGAAAAGAAAAAGACGGCAAGGCAATAAATAGTGTCTAGAACAATCATAATATAGACAAATACCTGGAAGACATTCTCAAAACCAGTCTCATTTCCTTCCAGGACGAAGGTTTCAATTGGTTTTCTTCCTGGAGGCAGATCAGTTATCTGGAAGACAGAAAAAAAGATCAGGGCCAAAGTTCAATACTGAATTTAGAGTGACAGTTCATTCTGCCAAAAATAAACAATTGTAACTATCAGAGGTCAAATTATACTGAATGAGAATGCCTTAGAGAAGTGAGACAAGGAGAAGATATAAGACGGAAGTGTGATGTAAATGAATGTTTTACACATTTGAGAAGTTGCAGGTTAATTTAACTATAATCGGGCATTTTGAATCGGTTATGAAGGAAAAGTGGCATACCCAGAGAGGCTAGTCAGCTTCTATTAATGAAGAGTAATACCCGACTGCTACAAAAACTTCCAATGTAGGACTAACCAACTTTTTCCAAGTTTTTTAGTATACAAACTACTCCAATTGAACCATCCTGCCATTATTTGAAGCCAAACAAGGAAATATGAACTTGTCTTCCCAAATTCCAACATAGTATACATTGGGCTAGATCAATATACTGAGTTGGGTCTTGGAATTGCATGGGTTACATAATGCAAATCACATGTTTAACAGGTTTGAGTATTATCTGGGTTGATAGCTTGTAGTATAAATAATTAACCAGTTTGTGAAGTGTTAAAAATTGGTCTTAAGTAATCTGTGCAGTTAATTGTTATGTTCAATTCATTGGGATGTATTTGTTTTAATTTGCTGTTGTATTTTCTTAAGCTATTAGTACACACATTGTGCTTTTTTTTCCCAATGTCTATTGCTTACTATTACTGGTTAGACATGGAAATTTTGTCATAGGCTACTGATGAGTTGTTTTGGTGCTTAAAGTGTAGGGATCTTGCTTATTACTTAATGAGGATGAGAGGAAGAGGTGGAGCAAAATAGCTCAAAAAAAAGTGAAGTGTGTGAGTTTCCTTTGTAGACATTGAACACGGAGGAGTTTGATAATGCATGTGAGGTTACGGGTAGTCATGATCCATATAAGAAGTCGATGATGGTATGCAGAAACAGAAGGAAGCATGGTATTAGTATGCATGCAACATTGAACATCCACACCAACGTGGGGACATATAGGAGATGTAGGAGCAAGATTGAGGAGAGCTTTTTTGATACATGAGATGATGTGGTAATTTACTTACTAGAAGGATAAAAAAAATTAACATCTGCACGTACAAGTTTCTTTGGGTTGGTGAAAGTGGATTTTATGTGCTTAATTACATATATTGTACTTGAAATTATTTGTATTACTGAGAAAAAAGTTACGTTTTATCCGGAAAATTTGTATCTTAAACAAGGGAAGCATAAGGCTTTAGCTACCTGTGTTAAAGACATGTCTCCATATAGAGCCAAAGCTAGAGTTCTGGGAATAGGAGTTGCTGACATAGCAAGGATATGAGGAGCCATATAACCTTTATCTTTAAATGACTCTTCCAATACAGCCAAGCTTGACTTCAAGCTAGTTGAAGTAGAATATAGCTGCAACATAAATGAGTATATTCAACCTTACTGAACATTTTATTTAAGTGAAAAGAAAAATCTAGATATAAATGAACATATTCAGAGAAAATTCACGAGTTAAAAAAACACTTGGGAGTAAGTTGAGAATGGAGCAACATATTTTCTGGACCTGCATCGTATGTATAAAACTGGCATAAATAATCTAGATATAGCAACATTATCATTCTATAAGACAAAATCCTCATATAAATTAAAAAAAATGTAAATGAGTTAAACAAAAGTAATTAAACAACAAATATGCATGTTCATTCCTGTGCTTCATTGAATTGTTATTCCTTTTACAGAGAAAGGAACAGAACAAAATCTCAGTACCTGTCAGTAAAATATTTCACTAAATTTGTCATGTATCAGTTAATTACTAAAATTATGGGCATAAGATGGCCTTAATTTAGAGTCCAAGTGAAGTCCCGCTGGATAAGATATGACAAGAAGTGTTTTTTTTTTCCCAAGGAATAACAATGTCAATGTGAATTGTGATAGAAGCATAGCTCATGGTTAATATAATGTTTGAATGGATAAATGTTTAATATCAAGCATGCTCAGCTAGTCCCACCGCACCCCCACAACCAAAAGAAAAACAAAGAAAAGAAAAGAAAAGATGCACGCATATACACACAAGGAAAAGATGTGAAGGTAGCGTTCTGCCAGAAAATAACAATCCACCTTGCTATTAAATCACACACACACACAAACAAACACATACACATGCATAAATACTTGTACACGTGCACAAGAGAAAACGATCTGAAGGTAGTGATATTGCCTGCTAAAACCAAATACCTTGCTGTTAAATCTTCCTCTCTGGATCACACCAAAGCGATGCTGCTCATCTACAACTGCAATACGCAATGCTGAAAATTCAACCTTATCAGCTATAAGACTGTGGGTTCCAATGACCATTGCAATATCCCCTGTCTGAAGACCCTGTTGAAACAACAAGAGCTATGCATTAAATACATAAAGTACCAACCTTATGAAGGTAAAATTCAAAGACATGCCTTGAGAATTAGTCTTGACTGCTTTGTAGGGGTGGAACCTGTTAGTAAGGCAACAGAAGGTTTGTAGTTATCATCCTCAAAATTCTCCAATAAAGAAAGTATATGGTCATAGTGCTGGATTGCTAGTAGCTCAGTTGGTACCATAAAAGCAGCCTAGGCACAATCAAGCAAAGGTTGTCATCAGCTGAAGTCATTGTGTATCATACCCAAAATTATGTATATAGATATTTAACAAACAATACTTCCATCAAACAATACTTCCAGCATAAGCTTTGTCTAGTAAGTTAAAAAAAAACAATTTAACAGTTTTATCCAAGCCAACCTGAAAACCTGAGCTGACAACCTCCATACAAGCCAGAAAAGCAACCACGGTTTTTCCACAACCAACATCACCCTGAAAAAGATTTTGTTCAAGATAATTAAAACATAAATCATCATAGCAACTGATTTTCAACTATAAATGTGTGAAGTAGAAAACTCTTGTTAGAATATATGTTTGTATGTGTGTGCGCCTTTGTGTTTCTGTAGTTTCGTGGGAGTTAGCATTGTGACCTGGAAGTTTAGAAGGTAATACTGAAACATTTATCAGGAATTACAGTGAATAAATTTTTTAAACAGCACAATTTCATGAAGTGCAAACATCCTTATTATTCAACAACCAACGTCAACTGAAAAAGATTACTTGTTGAAGATAATTAAATAAAATCAGAAGTCGCAATTGGTTACAAAATCAACTTGATATAAATCATCATATGAAATGATTTTCAACTATAAATGTGCGAAGTAGAAAATTGTTGTTATATATGTTTGTGTGTGTGTGCGTGCGTGTTTGTGTAGTTTGATGGGAGTTAGCATTGTGACACGGAAGTTTAGATGGCAATACTATAACCTTTCTCAGAAATTACAGTGAATAAAATTGTTAAACAGAAAAGTTTCATGAAATGCACACATCCTTATTATCCAACAAACACCTGTTTCCCTGTTCTCATAAGCTAATTCATATTACTAGTTACCAAGTCTTGTAGATCTATATTACCATAAGGAGCTACAATAATCAGCTAATACAAACAAGTTAGATCACACTTTTTTTGTTCATACGGATTGCAATTAAAATAAGTTAAGAGGCAGAAAAAGATCATTTCACTAATTTTTACATCTACAAGTTAGCTAGAAAGTGAAATAGATCAAGAATCTTTTGGATTGAAAATTAGGAATTCCAGACATCAAAAAGATTGAGTGGCAATATAATGGATTCAGAAAGGTTCTCCTCTAAATGAGCACTCTATATCCTTTCTCAAAAAAATGTGCAAAAGAACCCAGTAATTCATCTCATATAAAAATCAAATCTGACAAGATAACAATGTTTAAGATTCATTAAATGGAACCATCTAGTGAATAAGAACATAAAATGCAAATATTAATAAAGAAAATTATCAGTGCAAATACCTGCAAAAGTCTATTCATAGGGACTGGCCTCTTGAGATCATAAATAATTTCTGAAACTGCATTCTGTTGGCTAGGAGTAAGTGAATACGGAAGGGCATTAAAAAAAAATTTGGTCAGAGTAGACCATTCTTCAACAGGAACAGCATATAACTCGTGGTTTTTGTATTTGTCCAACAACTGCTCTTTTTCTATCCCTGTACCCAGAGCTTCAAGCATCTGGAATAGTCTGCCCAACTAGAAAATGAAACCAGTCACAACATGCCCCCTTTAAAATAGAAGGATACTTACAATAATATTGTCTTGAAATGAACATATAAGTAATGAATGCGTAACCAATGCTTAGAATTTCTATATGAACAAAAGAACGTCAAACAGGCAACTACGAGATGGGACACAAATTATGCTAAAGAACAAAGGCTTTTACTATATATGATAACATGCAAAAAATATAGAAACTATTGGAAGTAATAAAAATATTAAATAACACTTTCTCACACAGTCATACTATCCTAGTTAAATTTTTGTTTTGCATAAAAAATTCTGAAACCCCTTGTATCAGTTCCTGGCTTGAGACAATCATGAGAGTGCTCTCCTAAAGTTCCTCAAAAGAACTGGGACTTATGTGAATGCCATAGAATGCACAAGCAACCAGTTACAACCACGCATCTTATTGCTAGTCCAAGCTTGAATGGGAGGAATTGACAAAATAAAGTTAACAACTTATAAGACAATGAAATAAATTAAATAGAGCAGTGATCCTTTCTGAAAAAAAATCAAAAGCAGAAATGTTACCTGCAGGTAAAAGAACTCGTCAAAAATGAGTCTTCTACGAGCTAAATCAGCCTCAGTTAAATTCTTAGGATGATGGATTCCAATGTACGCCTGCATCAGGTCAAAATGTAACTTAAACCTCTACAAAGACATTAAAAATACACATAAAAGAAATTTATGTAAGTAACAAGACAAACACACACTCTCATTCATATGATACTAATAAGAATCATAAAAAACACGATCCTTCTTTAAAAGCAAAATACCAAAGAATAATAGTCAGACGGAACAATCTGAAATATGTGTACCTAATTGTAGAGTGATAAGGCTTATAGTTACGGGGGCAAATGGGGTCCCCTCAGATTGTAGGTTGCTCCTAAAAATATTCAAGATTTTGCATTAAATATACTGGACATAGGTACTTCTTCATGGTACGGAAGCTATCCATCAGCTATCATGCTATTGTTCTCCACTGTTTAACCCAACATGCACCAGTATACAAGATTGTTAAAGTAGCCAAAGTAGCTATTCAACTTCCTAGCACAGTACTAGTTTTAACTCAACCAGTGCTCTGCATAATGTATGATTCTTTTGTTGGTTTAATGTCTTTTTTCTTCGTAGTCTGTTCTAAGCTAGAACAAAGAGGGGCATGATTTATATAGCCTAGATCCAACACTAAGCTAAGTTAAATTAAGTTTGATATCTATGAAAGGATCTTAAAGGCGAATAAAAATATGGAGAGGTTAAGGTAGGAATAAAGGATTCATTTCACAGCATCTGAAAAGCCGTACCATAAACTAACTACACTTTTATGATCGCTTTCGGTAATGCAGTGTACCAAGCAAACTTTTCATTTAAAGGAATAAACTAAAATACATCTAAAATGTTTACAACTTACATCATAAAGGTCAAGTAAGTTGAACTCTTTAACAATCTCAGTAGGTATCGGATCAATATTTGTAGGAAGTATCTTCAAGGCCCTATACATGTTCATACACTGAAACAAGTTAGGTGCATAACACAACTACATCTTCATCACTTTCCGAAGAGGCCACTGAAAAAGGTCTCTTATGAAATAACAATACGGACAAAGATGTAAAGACAGATCACCTGCAGTTGAACATGTATCTAACTTAAGAGTAATTCTCCAATCATAAAAACACCAACTTCAGAAGTATGAACCAACTCAAGGAATTAAAGATTACTCAATTAGAGGAGACAACAAGACATGCATGATAAACATACAGAAAATTGATAAGGTTAAAAGCTCTAACATTAAGCAAATGTATGGTAAGAAAATTATGTAGCTTACATCGTGAATCTCCTTTAAGAACTAGATTTCTTGGTAAGCAGTTGTAAGCCAATAAAAGACCGGATTTTATTAAATAAAAACAGATAAAGATGTTTACTAACATTCTGATTTATTTGGATGGAAAGATGTATTGTAATCTTGGGTATGAAATCCCAGTTTTACAAGGTGTGTGTGCAATCTAAAAAGATTTGAAGTCTTTTATTAGGCGTGAAGTCATTGATCCAAGCATAAAGCCAAAACCATACCTTTCTTTTCCATATTGATGCCCAGTTCCACACCACCTCTCAGCAATCATAATCGCCCATTGCTAATTCTAGGTTGTGGGCCTTTTGAGATTTAATCTACACTCTACATTCATTATGCTCCAAATGGGTCAAATCTAGATGATTCAGACCGTAAAAAGGAGAGCAGTTACGACACGCATCTCAACGCAATGACCAACATCCCCTCTTCCACACAGACCTGTGATATAACCATCAAACAACTCCCTTTGTATCCATCAAGTTTAAAGCACACTCAACATCCCATCAGCAACGAACAAGATAACTTTCAGAGTGAGAAGCCACATGTAACTTTAAATTTTATAGGGATGAAGACACAACAAAAACACAAGGCACCATTCGGAAATTAGCATATCATGGTATATTAGTTGTTAAACACATGGACAAGAGACATAATCTCAACCATATCAGGGATGTGTTCACTTCACTCCCCGCTATAATTTTCATTCCACTGATAGGGAGGGGGAATCCACACAATGTTCTCCCTTTTGATTTGTTATTAATAGTAAATATATACTTTCCTAAAATATGTTCCTTGTAGAAGTATTAAGTCATAGCCAGGAGTGGTAAATGAGCACGGAACTTTATTCTAATGATACATATAATAATCAAAGGCATTCCAGGTCAATCTCTTAAGGCATGTTGCAAAAGAGACCTTCCCAATCGAAAATATCCCAAGCAACATAAATGTTTGTTACACCCTATATGCTCTACGATATCACATTTGAGAGGAATTTAGCCACAAAAATATAGATGTTCTTCCAATGTTCAGGAATTTTAAAGTGCACCAGCAACCAAATCTTAATGAAAATTACCATTTTCCAAATGTTACTCATCAAGGTTCTAGCTGGAGTTTATATGAGTTAACAATCTAGGACAATAAAATTTCAATTTTTATCAGTTTTAATCTACAACTTCAATTGGGGGTAGAGAATGTAAGAATCCTATTTTTTTCCATTAATCATATTAGAATATAAATATTAAATTGTAAAGGACTTTTATGCAAGAGAAAATAAGAGCTATGGTAAGATATCTAATATAAGCTGAGGGGGTTTATTGCAATTATGGCTTTGTGAAGACATGTTTTGCAAATGGATGTTTCTTAAGGGGTTTATTGGAAATGCATATCTTAATAAATAAATAAAACCAGATCCTAGCTGCAGACTTTTGGAAAGGAAAACTGAAAAGAACAAGAAGAAAATGGAAGAATGGCAAAAGGGGAAAAAATATTACTTTACACGATTTTGTTGATTTTGGAGAAGTGATCACCCCGCACTCCAGTACTTCCCCTGGAATGGCGATGATCTTTTGCGCTTTATTTTGGTAATTATTTTATTAACTTTCACAGTATTTCATCATCTAAAAGAAAAGTAATTTATACATTGCGTCTTGCTTATCTTTTTTCCATGGAAAATAAAGTTAGTAGGTTAGCTTTGACTAGGCATGTGCTTATCTGGTTTCTTCAATATAATTTAAAAAGAAAAGAAACTTGTGGTTTGCAATACACTAGCTCCCCACTTAGACTTGATGAGATTTTGACCTAAATTGTGGCTTTCCAACAGGCTAATGTATGAACGATATAAGACTTCATTTGCTATTGCGTTGATGTAAGCTTTTGGTGAACCATATATAGGAAGATTAGGTGTTACTGTTGTGACTTGTGATGACTAGTAATGTTACCTATACCTGACCTGATTTAATGTGTGTAATTTGAGAAATAACAACTAAGATTATCTGAAGCCTTTTAGATAGTTTCAGCTTTAATTGGGTTTAAGCTTCAATTAGAGTATGAGATATTATGGTGGTTACCTGATTAATGATTGTATTTGTTCTTTAGGGTTTCCTAGAGAATCCACGGAGGCGTCGTGAGTAGAGTTTGGACTGTTTCCCGGGTTGAGGTAAGCGGTGAATTTATACATTATGCGCTGCTTTTTCATATAAAATTATATTAAGTATATGAGGATTTGTTCCCGATGGATTATATCCTTTTGGATGATCTACTCGCATATAAATTGTTGATTGCAATGCACATGGATATTTGGTATAAGTCATGCTTATTTTTATTATCGACAGTCAAGTCTTTTTCATGTAGTAGTATGTTAAGATGCATATGTGGTTGATTTTACTATTAGTTGGCCTTTGCCACTTCTTTATAAAATACTTGGTTATATGAACTTTGTTCATTTTTCTTAATGCATATGCATCTCAAGTCAGTATACCAGTATATGTCAGCGATAAATCATATAAACAGGGCTCAATGTGATGAGGACATCCAGACACGTGCACGGGACTTTCGCCGTGTTTATCAACGTAGAAGACACCGTATTTCAGTCGTGTATCAGATCGCAGGGATATGGTTCTGATATTTAGATTTTTTTAGTTATATTTTTCAGTTAGTAGTTGATTTCAGATTAGAATTGTGTTAGTTATTTAGTTTGTTATTGGATGAGGTTGAGGGAGATTTGATTGAGATTTTAAATTCTGTAATATTCTCTATATAAACCTGGTTGTAATCAGAATTAAAACAATAAAGATTATTTGAAAATTAGTTGCAATTACCTGTGTTTGACGTGTGAAATGTGGGTGTGAATCCCTAAGATCGCTCCCATGTTCCTTCTTCTGTTCAACAGTCGCCGTCCTTCTCTCTCCCAACCTCCGCCACTCTTTATACTGCGCCGTCAGCGTCCACCGCCACCTGCTTCCATCCGAGCCCCGAAACCCTAATCATCGCCCTCAGCCTCCGCCGCTCGACCACCACCGTCGAACTCCCCCACCTCCTCCACCTCTGACAATGCCCCGCCCTCTACCGTATCCCAGATCCGCCCCCGTTGTCACCCTACCCGACGAAGATCACCGCCGTTCCATCGTCCTCGAGCCGCCAGCGCACGCTTCTCTTCAGATTGGAGTTGAACTGAATGGTTTTTTTTTGGTCTAGGGCTTTGAACAGACCCGGCCCTTTATGTTTGGATCTGATCTATTTGTTCAGACCACCTAATTTCATTTGGGTGGTTTATTTTGGTTCAGACTCGATCCGGTTCAGTTGGACCAGGCCCTGACCCAGACCTAATCTGCACTGTTCTGAATCGCGATTCCGCAGTTCGTTGGTGTATGGCTGATCCTGACGCTGAAGACAACGACCTTGTGCTTGACCCAGAGACTGGTGTTGTTGATTTGCAGCTTTCCCTGTGGTTCGATTATCGATCATTCGAGAGTGTACCCGAGTACGTCGAGCGTGTGACTCATCAGATCGTCGACAGCATAGAGAGTCGCTTGGGGATTAGTTCGTGGCACCGACGTTTCTGGAACACCGACGTTTCCATCCAGAAACGCCGCTTCATGCCAATTATGTAGCTCTCGGAGGAGAACTCCCACCACTCCGATTTGGAATTATTACACCGCCTCCATAGGATCCTCCCATTGAACCAGTCCAACCCGACGAATGTTTAATTTTCTTACGCCCAAGTATTTTAGGAATTACTATTGCGTGCATGTTATTATCAATCTTAGTATCAATCGCGATTATGTTGTATTCAGTTTGAATAGTGAGCCAGTGATTCTGTTGCCAAGTATTTCTGCTGATCTAAATATTACAAATTGAACTGTATTAAGAGAACGAATCATTACATTAATTATCTGAATAATTTTACAAAGATTCAAACTTAGTACATTGCAGCTTTTGCTTAAAAACCATCGGTCGCTTCATTTGATTCTTGAGTTTCCTACTTAGATTGATCACTGATTTGGTGAAGCATTGTTGTCGCTGATCTTGCACCTGCATATACATTGTTTCACATCACAATATGCCTCTATGAGGCATTTATTAGTGTTGTAAGCCCAAATTTGGGTCTCACCGTCCTAGAGGCATGGGTTTACCAAGTCAACCGGAGCGAGACATGGCCTACTTATTTTCCATTTCATGAATTTATGCTTTAAAATTTTGCATCAAGTTTGTGGGTTTATTGATGAGTTATTGTTTTAATATTTTGTTTATCAAATCAAAATATTTTAATTTTTGTAAAAGCAATGCTTAATATATAAATTTATCCACTTATTGAGTTGTGAACTCATTGTATTTTATTCACATTTTTTCAGAGACCAAGGAATAGGTGGAGTTCATGGTTTCCAAATCGAGGAGGGAGCAAGTAATAATTTATAAAATTGCTATTTTTTAGGTGAAGGATAAATAAATATTGGATAATAGCTGAACATAGAAGATTCTGTAATAATAAGATTTTCTCCTTCAGGTTGGATTATGTTTAAGATGAGGAATATTTATTTATCTCAACAAGTTGAGGTGGTATTGACTTTTGGATTATTGACAATAATTATTAATCAAATTTTGATGATAAGATAAATTTGATGGCCATTTGAAAGCATATTTTTGGAGTATTTTGTTAATAGGTTAGTCAGGTTCCAATGTTCCTTTAAGGTTCGAAAATTAGGGTTGTGACAGAGAAACAATCACAATCAGCTTTGATACCAACGAAAGATATCCTAATATAATGATTCATATTACTCTAGAAATATTCTACTAGTGTAAGATATTCTACAGATGTAAGATATTCTACGGATGAAAGATATTTAGATTTACTGGATTACAAAAAGAATAACAAGTGAACTAACCTTGATATAATGTCTCTGAGAAAACTCGGTTTAAGACCTGCTTTAGAAGGGTAAATAGGATATGGCCGTTCTTCTATATGGGCATGATCTTCTTCTGCCTCTTCAAGCCTGTCAATACTGTATTCTCTCATTTCAAAATGATTCTTTGGACGTACTTCCTTGACCTGTATGATGTATCTCCACAAAATTCCATTACTCTATTTTATGTATATGTTGATGTAGAAAGAAAAGACTAGTGAAATACATGATTAACAATTTAAATAATAAACAATCCTCTAACAAGTACAAGCAATTGACAGATAGCATTAAACTGCAATTAATCAATAATTTTCTAAACAAATAGGCAGGTGCATCAAAATTGATTGTTTAATCTCAAACAAATGCAAATATGTACTGCAAGAATAAAAATGTCACTGCCTTAGAACATTTTATCTGTAACCCCTATTTACAAATTTAATATGGAAGAAACGATCATTTCTTTGTTATTACCAAACCCTGATTGCACTTTAGCTTCTTGTTATCCTCTAATCTTGGAGTAAAAAGTATAACAAGCTTAGTTTCCCAATTATCAACGAAGATGACCAAGATCAAGACTGAAATCCAAGTAGGACCACGGTATATAAATGAATAAGGCTTAACAACTATGTTAGTATGTTACTCTTAATTCGACTCTGGTTAAAATACAAGCAAAACTTTCTGTTCTAGAAAGTCCAGTTTCAACTCTAACTGAAATGTACAGCAATTAGATCTTTCATTGAATTTACACCGAACACAAAAAGCTCATGACTAGCTTCCATCAAAGGGTGGATGCAACATCAAACTTTAAGGCAAGTGGTAAAATAAGAAGAAAGATTTTGAACGATGCTTAAAAAAGCAGAAGCACAATGCAAACTGTGACACCTTTGTATGAAGTGAGGTGTAAGCTTCAATGCATGAGGCGTAAGCCTCATGAGTTAAGTACATTTTAACTTTAGAATTTACAGATTTTTTAAACATATAATATAGTGATGTAATAATTTACATACAAATAGATACATTAAGGTCTTGATTACTAAATAAGAACTAAATATGCTAATTAATAAAAGTATATATATATATATATATATATATATATATATATATATAATCCCAGTGTTGCCGAGATGGCTGGTTAGGGTAGTGTAAGACGTTGACAGACGTGTAAGCTTTCAGCTAGATTGTTTTAGAGAGAATCAAAAGAAAAATAAATAGTCTACCTCCTTACTGGATTGATATTTAAGAGATAAATCTGTAACAAGAGAACTTTATGTCAGATATTGTGGAAACTTCGGCTCGACCGTCCAGTTATACTGGAATGAAGAAGGTCAAAAACGCTCAATTAACAGAATATGAAACTGATATAGAGTCCCTTAATAAGTGGACTATACCTGATGTCCCTAATAGGGAAATATATAAAATTGGATTTCTCGACTATAAGTCGTTGATCAATATAAAAACTTTAGAAAGGACTACTACAGTCGATAAAGAAGAACAAACTATACAACTCTTGGGAGTTGCAGATGTAAATCCTTATATGGATAAATATAAATATTTACATATCGGTCTTATACAGATCGCATTTCGTCCTTTGACGTTATCAGGCTTAAACGCCTCTTTATTAGTATGTTTAAGAGACTCAAGATGTTTAAATTGGACCCAATCTTTAATGGGTATTATGGAGACCAGTTTATGTAACGGTCCAGTTTATTTTAATGTATATCCAAATTTAAGCTTCTCATTAACAGATCCAAATATCTTAGAGGCTATTAGTCTTAATATAAAGACACACGGATACAATTATATTCCTGGATCCGAAACAATTGCGATAATATATCGTATTCACAACAAAGTATTAAATACGTTAGCTCCAAAAGCCAAAAACCATTCAAAACCAGGCAAGACTGTTCTGATTGAAACAAATGTTTTATCTTCAAATATAGCTGTGAATAGACAGATTAAATGGGATGAAATAAATTTCCCTAAAAATTGGGTTATACCCCATGCAATACAACCTCCACCAATTATTAACCAAGATGTTGACCAAAAAGTCCAAACCGCTGATGGAGAGGTTGAAATAACATTTAATCCATCAAGAACTATCAGGATATCTGATGTGGCATCATCTGCCAGAAACTCGTTCTCTAGATCTGGATCTTATAGAACCAGCTCAGTGCAAGGGATAAATATATCCGATAATAATATCCCACATGCTTTATATAAAGATAAAGCTTCTCCTCCTAATACGGAGATGAGTTTTCAAATGAAGTAATGAATTTTGAAAAAGGAAATTCTATAAGGGAAATTCTTAATACAGAATTTTACCTTGATAAAAATAAAGATTTTTTAAATTGGTTTTTTAAATTTTTTTTGAAAAAAGACCAATTAAATTGGGTTAACAAATATTATATTGAACTTGACTATAAACAAGAAATTAAATTTTTTGTTCCATGGTTCTTAAGAAGATATGTTTTAAAACAAAGTCAAAAAATAAGTGTTTTAGAAGAACATTTAAAACAATGGAAAACGACTACGGGTAAATTAGTTAGATCAGTAAATCCACCTATAGACCCGATTGTCTTAAAAGACGTTTCTCCCTCTCATATAGAGGTAAGGGCTTTTATAAAACCTAATGAGTTCAATGAAGAACCCATGAAAGAATTAAGTAAAATAGTTAAGCAAAATAACTATACAAATATTTATTTGAAAACAATAGGTGAACAACTTATAAGAGTTGAAGAAGTTTTAGAAAAATTAATATCTAAAATAACTGAAGTTATACCTTCTTTAAGATTGTTAGAAAAATCTAATCTTTCTCAAAGAAAGATGGAACAAACAAATATTAAACCTCCTATTGATATTTCAGGATTTAAAAAAGATAATGGTAGAAATATCTACGAATGGAATATAGATGGGTTATCAGATACCCAAGTTAATTCGGTTATACATCGAATGTTAATGTATGGAACCATATGTAAGCAGAATGGTAATAGTGAACGAATGATAGCTTCGTTTATCACTTGTGGTTTTACTGGTGTCCTTAAAGGATGGTGGGACCATTATCTTACATTTGAGGCTCGAAATGAGATTTTAGGAGCAACTAAGATAGATAATGGTGTACAGCAAGAAGATGTTGTATATACTCTTATGTTAGCTATAGCACACCATTTTACTGGTGCATATTTAGATGAAGGAGAAAGAATTAGAACTTTATTGCAAAACTTTATATGTCCTTCATTAACACATTTTCGATGGTATAAAGATACCTATTTGAGTAGAGTAATGACTCTTAATGATGCTAATGGCTCTCATTGGAAAGCCAAGTTTATTGATGGTTTACCAACTTTATTCGTTGAAAAAGTTCGAAATAAACTTCGAAATGAATATGGGGGATATATTCCCTATGACAACCTATCATATGGGTATTTGTCAAACGCCTGTATAAAAGAAGGCTTAGCTTTATGCAATGATTTAAAGCTTAAAAACCAATTAAAGTCTCAAAGACTTACTAAAAGAAAAGTGTTGGGAGAATTTTGTGAACAATTTGCATATGATCAACCTTATAAGGCTGATAAAGAAGTTATTCCTCATAAAGGAAAGACTAAAAAATTCTTTAAAAAGAAAAAGAAAAAATTCTTTAAAGAAAAGGAAAGAGAAAAGCCTCATAAGGCTAAAAAGAAAATTAAATCAGATAAAAAAAAATTATTGTTATAAATGTGGCCGTATAGGGCATTATGACAATCGCTGTTATATTAAAAAGAAAATAGAAGCGATTGAAGATGAAGGTCTTAAAAGGACTTTATTCAATATTCTTATTAATAGTGATTCAGAAGACGAATCATATTCGTCTACTTCAGACTCAAATTCTGAAAATTGTAAATGTGTAATTAATAATTGCAATGATGAAACAAATTACTGGAAATCTATTGTCCAAATGAGTGGATTATTGATTAATATGATCAAATCTAATAAAGATAAAGAACTTTTATCACAAGTTCTTTCAGCTGATATTTCTTCTACTTTCAAAGAAGAATTATTAAAAGGATTGTCTAATAAAGACAAAAATCCTCAAATAGACAATGTCTTTAAATTCTCAGAAGTACAAAAAAGAAGGCAAAATATTGCTCATACTTCAAAAGATATATCTTTATCATCTCTTAATAAAGAGATACAAGACTTAAAAGTCGAAATAAAAAAGTTAAAGCAAGAGAATAAATACATTCTCGCTCGATTTGATGAAGGTCATGAACTTGTTCAAAATAGTGAACAAGATGATCAAGAAAATATTGAAATTAATGAAGCCAATGCTCTTTTGCAAATATTGCAACAAGTCACCTCTCAAAAGTGGTATATAAAAATCAACTTAATAGTTGAAGATCAATTTTATATATCAGATCTTATAGCTCTAGTAGATAGTGGTGCAGATTTAAATTGCATTAACAAAGGCATAATTCCTTCAAAGTTTTTTGAAAAAACTACTCAAACACTAAGTAGTGCAAATGGAAATCAACTAAAGGTAAAATATAAATTACCCAATGCACAAATATGTGTGCAGGGGACTTGTATACCAACTCCTTGTATATTAGTAAAAAATTTATCCCAACATATAATTCTTGGGACTCTATTTTTACATACTATTATGCCTATCCATAAGATAGATACAAATGGCATTCGTGCTACTTTTCAAGAAAAAGAAATTTTACTTGAGTTTATTACAGACCCTCAAACTAAAATGTTAAATAAGGTTAAAAATATTATGCTTAAAGAAAATCAAATAAATTTTCTTAAAGAAGAATTAGTATTTGTTCAAGTTGAAGAACAAATTAAAAAACAAAAAGACTTAATAAGTCAAATTGAAAATAAGTTTAAACTCACTGTATGCAGTGATGTTCCAAATGCTTTTTGGAATAGGAAACAACATATTATTTCTTTACCCTATATAGAGGGATTTAACGAGAAAAATATTCCAACAAAATCTCGTCCTTGCCAAATGAATCAAGAATATCTTGATTTATGTAAAAAAGAAATACAAACTCTTATAGAGAAAAATTTAATAAAGAAATCATATTCCCCTTGGAGTTGTACTGCATTTTATGTTAACAATGCAGCTGAAAGAGAACGTGGAGTTCCACGATTAGTTATCAATTAT